AACGAAAAAAACAATTCAATGCGCTTAATTGCAGGTTTAATTGCATGTTGAGTTGTGCGGTGGGCTGCACGTTGAATTGCGCGAAGCGCAACGCATCAAATTGTACGGTACAGTGCGGCCAATGTTTTGTGATTTGCGCGCTCAATCGTGGCACGGTGCGGCCGCGGCGCGGTGCGGTGCGGTGCGGTGCACGGTCCGGAACGGAAAAAAACAAAACACACGCGGGCGCCGGGATCGAACCGGTGACCGCTTCCTCCCACACGGTGCGGGAGCTAGCGCACACCACGAACCGGTGCGTGGCGATGTTCTGAAGCGCATTCCACAGACCCAGGTGTGGTGCAATGCGATGCGTCGCGGTGCGGCGCGGTGCCGTGCGGTGCGAAAAAACGAAAAAAAGCGACGACGGCGGGGCGCGAACCGGCGACCGCGGCTCCCAAGCGGCGACGGAGCTAGCGAAAAAGACGCAGCTCCGAAACCGCGAACGACACGGCGAAAAAGGCCAACTCTCCAGAGGCTCGACCAGACGGACGGACAGACTAGACGCGGGCTGCGTCGCCCGCGAGGGGGCCGTAGTCCCCCGGCTGGGCGGCAGGAGTACGACGGTCCGTGCGTGTACTACACCCGTGTGGGAGTCGAACTCACAAGTGCAAGGGATGCACGAAGGGGAGCATCGTTGTCGTCATGACGCGTGAGTACACGGTGAGTACCCGGGTGGGCGGCAGGAGTATGACGGAGCGTGCGTATACTTGTAGTACACCCGTGTGGGAGTCGAACCCACAAGTGCAAGGGATGCACCCAGCCGTGCGGGCGTGTCGTCGGACGGCTAGAGAGCCGTGCAACGCTGGCATTTAACGCCATCCAGTGGCGAGGCAGACGAACTGTTTTACGTGTCAGGTGGTGTTGGCTGCGGAGGTCCAACGCTCCTCTAGGTTTCTGGCGTGTTTGTACTCGGCGTGCGTGCGTGCGTGCGTGCGTGCGTGCGTGCGAGCGTGCGTATACTTGTAGTACACCCGTGTGGGAGTCGAACCCACAAGTGCAAGGGATGCACCCAGCCGTGCGGGCGTGTCGTCGGACGGCTAGAGAGCCGTGCAACGCTGGCATTTAACGCCATCCAGTGGCGAGGCAGACGAACTGTTTTACGTGGCCGTATGCATCAATCAAATCAGCGAACAATGCCTATCACGTAAGCATTGTTATGTACGATTGCAAAGTGTATGTAGGCTTGCCGGTGTATGCCATGACATGCGTCGATGCATAACCTGTTATGCCCCGTCATCGTGTCGAAGCTCGACCAACGAAATCGTAGAATCGCCTGCAGCAGCGTCGGAGACTGTAGACCTTGTGCCGGTCCTAGAATTTCGAGGGTCGTGGTTCGAAACGAGGACAGTGACAGGGCAGAACATAAGAGAGGAAGTTATGCGTCGGCGTATGTCAGAGCAGAAACGATGGTGCATTGAAGAGTGCACGGTGCACGAACGTGTGTACCGTCCGCTGAGGCAGCGGTGTTATCAACGTTAAATTCTAAATGTTCTACACAGTTTAATATTAAATACAGTCACCATCTGCGTCGGGGACTGTACAGCCTACTTAAGCAGCGCCAGCTTCGCAGACGATAACGACCGTGTGGCGTACGACTAACGACTAGATGACTAACGATTAGACGCCGACGTTCGCCGCACAAGTACACAAGGTAGCGCAGGTGAAAGCGCACGGTGCACGAACACTTGTGTTGTCCGCTGAGGTAGCGGTGTTAATTTGGTACGGCACCGATGCAGCCCATCACACACACACACCCCACCACACCCACCTGCGAATGGCTGCTGTGCACGCCTTCTGGATGCAAGTCCTACCGGGTTACTGACCCCGTACGACTTGGATCCAGAAGGAGTGGACAGCAGCCACCCGCAGGTATGCGTGTGTGGTGGTGGGCGGGGGGGGGGGGGACGGGGAGGTTTGCATGGACAGGTACCGTAGCATAACAACACCACCGGCTCAACGGTCAGCATTAATTAGGCATGCAGTGGTGTTATTGTGGTACGGGACTGATACAGTGCAGCACATATACACCACACCGGGGTACACCACACCGACCTGCTGTGCAGTCATTCTGGATCAAAGATTCGGGTGCACACCGTCCGGGTCCGGACCCGGTACGACTTTGATGCAGAAGGACCGCATAGTAGACAGCCGCAGGTGTGCGTGCCCGCGTGAGTGTGTGTGGCGTCGGGGGGCGGGGGGGAGGGAGTTTTGCGTGCATTGGTAGCGTACCATAATAATACCACGTGTTGGTGTGAGCATCATTGTCATCATGGCAGCGGTAGGCCTTTGCTATGCGCGTGCGAATCGGGCCTTCCGTGTAGAGCAAACAGAGTGTATCCGCTAGGCACATGTGAACACATACACACCTGCCATACACACTAGAGCCGCGGCAGGCAAGATGCATTTGGAAGGGACGGACGAACGGTAAGATCCGTGGTTCCGGATGTGTCAGCGAAGGGGACTGCAGACATACGGCAGCGGCAAGCCGGAAGGGATGACAGGCAGTCAGACGGTCAGACGGAATAGCGTGGGTGCAATCATATAACACGGAGTGACATGGGGGCGGGTACTAGTACGGTCACGATGAGGACCGAAAGGGGGCGGAAGTCGGGCCGGGAGCATACCTGTCGAGTGCATGGTGAATGGCAGAAGCCGCGGTGCCTGCATAAGCGCGCGATCGGCAGCAGCTAGCACCGCCGCATAGGCGGCAGGACGGTGTACTGGCACGACATCCGTCATGGCGACTTGTTGCTGCGGCGTTCGTACGTCGCGTCCGTGTGTTAATAGGGCCCTCGTTGTCGACTAAGTGGAGCCCATACCGCATGACCTGCCACGGGTGGACAGCGGTGACAACATGTTAGAAAGGAACGGGATATATACAATATACAAACGGCTGGAAACGCGTGCTAGTGCAGGGGACTGCAGACACACGGCAACGGCAATCCGGAAGGGATGACAGACGGTCAGATGGTCAGACGCAGACCATAGCGCAGGTGCAATCATACAGTCAACACGGAGTGACAGGGGGGCGGGTACTAGTACGGTCACGATAACGTGGGCGAAGGAGGACCGGGACGGGGCGGAGGTTGGAACCGGGAACATACCTGTCGAGTGCATGGTGAATGGCAGAAGCCGTGGTGCCTGCACGGTCGCTCGGTCGGCAGCAGCCAGCACCGCCGTGTAGGCGACAGGACGGTGTACTGGCACGATATCCGTCGTGGCGACATGTTGCTGCGGTGCTCGTACGTCGCGTCCGTGTGTTACTAGGGCCCTCGTTGCCGACCAAGCAGAGCCCATACCGCATGACCTGCCACGGGTGGACAGCGGTGAGAGCATGGTAGAAAGGAACGGGATATATACAATATATGAACGGCTGCAAACGTGTGTGCAGACACACGGCAGCGGCAATCCGGAAGGGATGACAGACAGTCACACGGTCAGACGGAATAGCGCAGGTGCAATCATATAACACGGAGTGACATGGGGGCGGATACTAGTACGGTCACGACGAGGACCGAAAGGGGGCGGAAGTCGGGCCGGGAGCATACCTGTCGAGTGCACGGCGAATGGCAGAAGCCGCGGTGCCTGCATGGTCGCGCGATCGGCAGCAGCCAGCACCGCCGTATAGGCGGCAGGACGGTGTACTGGCACGACATCCGTTGTGGTGACGCGTAGCCGTGGCGGCCGAAATGCGGATCCAGTGGCGCTCGTACGTCGGGTCCGTGTGTTATTAGGGTCCTCGTTGTCGACCAAGCAGAGTATACATCGCAGGACCTGCGATGGGTGGACAGCGGCGACAACATGTTTGAAAGGAACGGGATATATGCAACACATAAAGGGCCGGAGACGGCAAAGGCAGCGGTACGGGAATAGGTATACATGGCACCATAGCAGCGTACGTGGAGCATCACAACTGCCAACACCGGATACACGACCGCCGTGCGGAAATAGAGACTGGCGGCGAAGAGGTGCCGAAGGGTGTCGGAGAGGCATGGAGGCACGCTAACACGATCACATATGTACCTGCTATACACGCCAGAGCCGCTTCAGGCAATAGGCATTTCGAACGGACGGACGAGCGGCAAGAGTGACGGATGGGACCCCGTATGTGTCAGCGCAGGAGACTGCAGACAGACGGCAGTGGCAATCCGGAAGGAATGACAGACAGTCAGACGGTCAGACGGAATAGCGTGGGTGCAATCATATAACACGGAGTGACAGGAGGGCGTGTATTTATAATCCAGACACAAGACTGTGCGGGCAGTGCATCGCATCGCACCACATCTGATGCGCCGACACATATGGACGCCAACTCATCGCACACTTAGCGCGCGCGATGGAGACCTCGCAGGAAAAGCGCGGCGTGGAAATGCTCGGCACCAGGAACCACGATACACGCAAATATGCAACGCATTGCAGCGACGATGCGTGACGGTTGTGCAGAAGCAGGGCCGGATATCGCGAAAACTCGCTATGTCGAAAAAGCAAGAGAAATAATAAGCAGCAAGATGAACACCGGTAATACAGACTAATTATCGCGGCCGTTAAGCACTTGCTTTGACACGCAATATACATACATCTAAAATAAACAGTTCTACACAAAACATGTACAAGGAGAACTGACATAAAATAGTTTGCGCGTGCATTAAAATAAACGACACCAAAGTTGTCGTACACATTTTAACATGACGTGATTCCGCGGACATCGTGCACACGTATGCGTGGACACCGTCACAACGGCGAGTCGCTATGCCGTAGTAAAGGATGTACGTAAATAAAAACGAAAACCGACACAAAACGAGGTCATGCAAAACAACGTATGTCGTACACTTGCTGGCACGTTTTCGTGCGACGGACAAGCACTAACGTGCCGACACGCACATATGTGCGTTGCGTCATAATGCACACTTACCGCGCCTAACGGAGGACACCGAAGAGAACAGCACGAAGGCTTGCCGGAGCAGCAGCTTCAACACATGCAAACCTGCACGACAGCGCAAAGGTCGGGTGAAGACAAGCCCGGTAATCGGGGCAATTCGTTATGTCCAACCATCATATACGCGAGTGGGACACGCACAGCAGAGCATGCTTCAGGGAGAGCGGGGAAGCGGCAAGAGGTGGATACGAATGAGACACGCACGGATGTCAAACCGGTACAGCATTCGTGCGTCAACACCCTAACTTATACCAGCGAAACCGGTCATACCGTTCATACACTCACCAGTGTAGATGCGAGGGACGCCGCCAACTTGTGTGGGAGTCGAACCCACAAGTGCACGGAATGCACCCAGCCCTGCAAGCGTGTCGTTGCGCGGCTAGACAGCCGCTCAACGCTGGCATTTAACGCCATCCAGGGGCGGCTAGATGGAAGTGAAGGGAGGGGACAGGTGCAAGCCATAGCGAAGTTGGACGACGTGCAGCGGACGGCAGCGCAAGTGGATGAACACGCAAGAACGAGTCATTCCTGCAGAGCCGTGATGAACGTTGTTCGACCTTCTGTCTTGGTGGTGATGGTACCGGTGACGGTGAACGAGTCGTAAGCAGCGTACGCCATACGATCATTATCGTCTGCGAAGCTGGTGCTGCCGAAGAACTCGTCGTAGTTTGGCAACTGTTGCATGACGGCGATGCTGTCAGTGCACACCGGATAACTGCGGCTGCCGATTGTGAGGACGAGCGGGAGGACCGGTAGTGAGCCGACTACAGTGACAGAAGTGGGGTTGGGTGACAGGGTGGCCGAGGCGTGTGGACCATCCGACGGTAAAACAAGGGCACTGCGGCTACGCTGCTCCCAAGCCAATACCATATCAGTCGTGTCGGCGGGCACGGTGGCCGCGGTAGTTCGCTGAACAGCCGCCTGGAAGGTGTGCACTCGTTTGGGAGGGTGTTTGCCGGGGGCACTCGCTGCTGCTACAAGCGAGCCGCTGAGGAAGACGCTATTCATATAAGCTTTGCTATTGGAGGGGCTGATCTTGGCACCATACACGTAGAGGGGCGTGCTGCTATCGGCCGCTGCTTGTAGCTGAGCGACGAAGTCGTCGGGAGCGGATTCCCTGATGGCGAGCTCCACGCGTCCGGCGTCGGGACTGTCACCGTTGCCGCACGCGACCCACGCCTTAAACTTGCGGAACGGCCCGCCCCGGAACATCCCGCCGTGTGGGATGAGCAGGAGGGCGCTGCCATCCGACGCGTGCTTGTCTTCGGGGCGGGCCCTGTCGCTGCCGACATCGTAAACGGGGAACCGAAGCCTGGCGCTGTAGAGCATTGGGACAGCGGAGGAGGGCTCCACGGAAATCCGCGTCGCTGAGGAGACTTTAAACTGCCCCACCGTCACCCCAGCGAAACGAGAAGTTATGAAAGGCGGCAGGGAAGCTGCATCCACGTTGGCGAACGTCACGCGGTGGCCGAACGCGTGGCTGCTCTCCAGCCTGCCGAGGATGACATCGTCAATCTGCATAATTACTATCCCCTGGCCGGCGGTATTCACGCCAGCGATGAAGCTGCCGTAGCGGCTCTGGGCGCCGGCAAAGAGGCGGTCCTCATTCGTTTCTGTGGGGCCGGCCGTAAACGTCACATGAAACGTGACGCTCCTTGAATCCCTACGTGTTGCAAAGGGGCGTCAAATGGGGAGCGTTACACGATATTCAAGGTGCACGCGAGCGGCGATGAACGTGACGGAAGACATCTGTGCTTAACAGGCAGCGGCCAAATATGCGCGCCGGAGCTGATAGATGCGTCTATTTCGCACGGTGAGAGGCGGAGCATAAGTACCTTACTGGTGTGAACACGCTCTTTGCATGTAGCAGCTCGCTTACGTGGTGACGGCGGGAGGGCCGACCGTCGACGTGCTGCTCTGGGACGCAGCCGTGTCCAGCCTCTGACGCTTGGCGTCCGGTGGGTCGATACTACTGCGGGAGTTGGTCGAAGGTGTAGAAAGTCAGGAGATGGGATCGGATAAGGTTCGCATAACGCATAACGCAAAACACGGGACGCAGCAACGGAGAATAACGCATATGTGACGGGTGTCGCATATGTTCGCATAACGCATAACGCATAACGCAAAACACGGGACGCAGCAACGCAAAGGATGCGAACAGCGTATTTACGCACTAGAGCAACGCAAACCGACCTGCTGGTCACCAGGGTGCGACATCGCAGATTGTAGGACGATGTAGGCTCTAGGCGTTGTCGCTTGGGGTCCGGCGAATCCATCCGGCTGCGAGCGTATGTCTGAAAACAGGTATGTCTGAAAACGGTGGAGGCACTTGGAGTAAGCAGGCTTGCAAAGAGGTAAGTGCAGGATAAGTGGGGAGGAATCGGCGCGCTAACAATTATACATCCGCGGCAGCGTGTCGTATAGATGACAGATGTCCGAGGATCGGCAGACGCGGACATTGGACGCGCACGCGCCGCGGCTGCGAGCCAGGTCGCGTGATTGCGGTGGCCTTGAACGACTCCGAAACAGGAGTAGAGTCATACAGCGAAGACAGGCGTGGTCAGGCGATAACGCGGATTGGTGCTAATTCGCGTGATTGTGGCCGCGTCTAGCGAAACCGAAGCTCAACGTCGGACGCAGAACGTCGGTAACTCGCGCGATTGCGGTGACCTTTAACGACTCCGAAACAGGAGTAGAGTTATACAGCAAAGACAGACGTGCTTAGGTGATGATGCGGATTGCTGCCAATTCGCGTGATTGCGGCCGGGTCCAGTGAAACCGAAGCAGAAACGGAAGCCGGTAAAGACGCGGATAGCTGAGATTTCGCGGTAATAAAAGGATGTATACGCACGAGGTCGCCGCAGCGAATATGTAACGGGTGCGGTGCGGTGCGGTGTGTGTGCGGTGTGGGCGCGGTGCGGCGCGGTGCAGACTAGACGGTGCGGAGCGGTCCCGAACGAAAAATAGAAGAAAAAAACGTGCGGGCGCCGGGCGAGGAAGCCAGCGAGCCGCAACGTAAACGTAAAAAAAAGGACACATTGACGCGCCGTCGCCGGGGTCGAACCGGCGACCGCGGCTTCCACTAGACATCGGAGCTAGCGTGCCCGACGAAGCGGCGCACGGCCATGCTCCGGGGCGCCTTCCGCGGGGGCAGGTGTGGTGCGGCGCGGCGCGGGGCGCCAAACCGAACGAAGGAAGAAGACGAAAAAAGCGGCGACGGCGGGACGCGAACCGGCGACCGCGGCTCCCACGCGGCGACGGAGCTAGCCTAAAAGGCGCGGCTCCGAAACCGCGGACGACACCCCGAATAACGCGAAAACAGCAAGCGGCCACCCGGACGGACGGACGGTCAGACAGACAGACGTAAAGTTGGGGTAAGGTCTCCGTCCCGACGACGGAACGACTAAACGTCGTCCGTCTAACGTCGGGACTACGACTACGAGGCGCGGTCCCTGCGGTCCCGAGGGGGCCGTAGCTCTCGTCCGGGTCCGAGTCCGGATACGTTCGGGTGCATCCGGACGTTCTATAATTCTATAGTTCTATAGTTCTATAGTTCTATAGTTCTATAGTTCTACAGTTCCATAGTTCTAAAATTTTATAGATTTAAGACTGGACAGCAGGAGTCGAACCTGCTGTCCAGCCAAAGAAGGAAAGGAGTTGAAGTAAAACGTAGGAGTCGGACCTGTTGTCCAGCATACGAAAGAAATATGTAGGAGTCGAACCTGCTGTCCAGCATACGAAAGAAAGGAGTTGCAGCAATACGTCGAAGCTGTGGTACAGCCAGGGACGGCGTGGGTAGGGATGGTTTTTCGTGTTTGTTTAGTTGTGATTTAGGTCGTGTGTGAAAACCATCGCAGGATTCGGACCTGCTACCCGGTACTGGGCATGCCTAGAGATGGTTTGTCGTGCTGGGATAGCACGCCCGGTTTTGCGCCGCGGGAAGGCGTGATTGAAGTCGTTCAGATGGGGCGGATGTCCGTCACGAAGGTGGTGCGTCCGTGTGTTGTCGTCTTTACGTCGCAGTGGAGCGTCCACTGTTCTTCTGTGACGTATTGTTGTCGACTCTCCGTCGTCGCGAAGTCCTGGTCCGCGAAGAAGTCCTGGAAACCTGGTAGTTGCTGTAGTACGGCTAATTCGGACGCACAGACTGGATACGTGGCGGTATTGTCCCCTCGATGCAATACGAGGGGGATTACCGGCTGTTGGTCTACACTAACTTCTAACATCAGGTTAGGTTGTAGTCGCATGTCTTTGTGTGTACCGTCGGCAGGTAGTACCACGGCTGTAGCATTCCGGCGTTCCCATGCCAATACGGGATGGGTGTAGGTAGATGGGCCTGTGCTGGCTGTTGTAGTTACTGATTGCGGCAGTTGCTGATCGTCGATTGCTGCCGACGCCAGGTCTACCCATCGACGTACGACCTTGCTGGGATATGCCGCTGTAACCAAGACTCCACCGAGCCATACGACTGGCTGCCACTTGTCTTTTTGTGTGATTCGGCCGTTTATTGAATAGAGTGGTTGCCGCTGCTGCGCTGCCTGTTTCCAGAGTTGGACGTAAGGCGTGGGCATGGCCATCATCGCTACTTCCATATCATACGCGGCGGTTGCCTGCTCTGAGATGCAGGCAATTTTTGTGGCGAATTTGGTGGGGCCCGCTGTATGACGGGCGTCACCATAGGGGAGGACTAGAAGTGCGTTGCCATCGGCTGGCCATTTCTCATCTGCGGCTGGTTCGTTTCAGCTTGGATTGATTGCCGGGTAGCGAATTGTTGCTGCCATAATTTTGGAAATTCAGTAGCTGCTCTGCAGGTTACTGTCGTGCTGTCGGTAGTCTTGAGTTGCCATG